CAGCAAAAACAATAGCAATATAGTCTGGCTTTCTAACACGAGCAAAAGAAAAATGTTTGAAAACAACTGCCCAAAAGTTTTGAGGAATAAATTTAGGGTGCATGATAGAAGTTGGATATGTTATGTAAAGATAGTATGTGGAGGGCCAGTGCTGTGGTGCAGCGAGTTAAGCCGCCATCTGCAATGCCAGCATCCCATATGGGCGCTGGTTCAAATCCTGGATGCTCCACTTCCAATTCAGCTCTCTGCTAATGGGTTGGGAAAGCAGCAGAAGATGGTCCACAACCTTGGGCCCCCACACCCATATGGAAGAAGCCCCTGGCTCCTGGCTTCAGCCTGGCCCAGCCCTGACATTGTAGACATTTGGGGAATGAACCAGAGGATCTCTCTCTCTCTCTCTCTTTCAAGTAAATAAATCTTTTTAAAAAACAATTTGTGGTTAAAGATGTATATTACAAATTCTATAGTAACTACTAAAACAATAAAGTAGAAATAGGCCAACTGTGTGCTGTGGCGCAGCGGGTTAACGCCCTGGCCTGAAGTGCCGGCATCCCATATGGGCACCGGTTCGAGTCCCGGCTGCTCCACTTCCAATATAGCTCTCTGCTATGGCCTAGGAAAGCGGTAGAAGATGGCCCAAGTCCTTGGCTCCTGCATCCACGAGGGAGACCCGGAAGAAGCTCCTGGCTCCTGGCTTCAGATCCTGGCTTCAGATTGGCACAGCTCTGGCCGTTGTGGCCAATTGGGGAGTGAACCATCCAATGGAAGACTTTCTCTCTCTCTCTGCCTCTCCTCTCTCTGTGTAACTCTGACTTTCAAATAAATAAATCTTTAAAAATAAAAATTTCAAGTTAATTAAAACTATAATGAGGAAAAGTAACAAAGAAAACTTAAAAATAGATTTATACCTGATCATATCAATAACTACATAAAATACAACATGACATAAACATACCACTTACCAGGTAGAAACTGTCAGGTGGGAGAAGCAAGCAAGAATGATGAAAATAAAGCTGACTGGGTGTCTTAATATGAGGCAAACATGAACAGAAAGAAAGCTGGATTTGTGACACTAAAAGCGTGCAAAGTAGACATCAAAACAAGGAATATAAGCAGGGAGAAGAGGGATAGTAAATAAATGATAAAGAGGAAATCTCTCTACCTCAAATTAAGTGTGCATGCACAAAACAACAGAGCTTCTGGGTGGTAATAATGCCATCTTAAGTGTTAAAGGGACCATATCAAGTGTTAATTTAATCATATAAATAAGATCAAATGTCTGATAATAACAATCATAGAATTACAAAGGAGAGAATGTTCCAACATGGGAAGCAGCCCACACAGCAGACTCAGAATGACAATCACTATAAATAGCACTCTGACCTCAAAATCATCCCTTAAGGCATTCTGGTCTGGCTAAAAAGCTCATTAGAGCATTTCAGGCATGGAAAGCCAAGACACTCTGGAAAAAAAAATCCTACATGAAGGATCTTGGTGAGACCACAGTGGAAAGAAGTGACCATCAAAGAAGGATGTACTTTTCTCTGAAAGGAGGCGAGATGCGTTATCAGGTAAAGCTGCTGCCTGTAGTGCTGACATCCCATATGGGCACTGGTTCCAGTCCTGGCTGCTCCACTTCCAATCCAGCTCTCTATGGCCTGGGAAAGCAGAAGGCTCAAATACTTGGCTCCTGCACCCACATGGGAGACCCAGAAGCTCCTGGCTCCTTATTGGCACAATTCTGGCCATTTGGAGAATGAACCAGTAGATGGAAGACCTCTCTCTCTCTCTCTCTGCCTCTCTGTAACTGTTTCAAATAAAAAAAGTCATCCTAAAAAAGATTCCTTTCTCTAGGGGATTATAAAATTACAGTTTAAGGAGGTGCTTTTAATTAGGTGACAAGTGCTACATTTTTGAAACTTGAAAGGCAGAGTTACAAAGAGGGAGGGAGGGGGCCGGTGCTGTGGCACAATGGGTTAAAGCCCTGGCCTGAAGCACCAGCATCCCATATGGGTGCCGGTTCAAGTCCCGCGGCTTCACTTCCAATCCAGCTCTCTGCTATGGCCTGGGAAAGCAGTAGAAGTCGTCCTTCAGCCCCTGCACCCACGTGGAAGAAGCTCCTGGCTCCTGGCTTCGGATCAGCATAGCTCTGGCTGTTGCGGCCATCTGGAGAGTCAACCAGTGGATGGAAGATCCCTCTCTCTTCCTCTCCTCTCTCTGTGTAACTCTTTCAAATAAATAAAATAAATCTTAAAAAAAAAAAAGAGGCAGAGAAGAAGAGAGATTTTTCCATCTGCTGTTAACTCCCCCAAGTGGTAGTAAAGTCAGGAATTTCATCCCGGTCTCCCATGTGGGTGCAGAGGCCCAAGGATTTGGCCTCAAACAGTTGGGATTCAAACCAGTGCTCAGACAGGGCTGAGTTGAACAGGCTGTACCATTTACTACAACTTGTGGGAAGGCAATTAATCCCACAAATCTAAATTTCCTCACACGAAACAAATGGAGCAATAGCATCTGAGTGCTCGTGGTACTGCAGATGAACTACGCATTATACACTGCTTTAGTCTGAGTACATCCTCCTGACCCGTGCTGGAGCTTTGGTCCCCGGGTGGGGGTAATTAGGTGTTGTTGTTTTTTTTTTTTTTAGAGATTTATTTATTTACTTGAAAGTCAGAGTTACACACACAGAGAGAGAGAAAGAGAGAGAGAGAAGGAGAGGTGGGGGGGAGAGGAGAGGGGAGGGGAGGGGAGGGGAGGGGCCTTCCATCTGCTAGTTCACTCCCCAAATGGCTGCAATGGCTGGAGCTGAGCCAACCCAAAGCCAGGAGCCAGGAGCTTCTTCCAGGTCTCCCACGTGGGTGCAGGGGCCCAAGCACTTGGACCATCTTCTACTGCTTTTCCAGGCCACAGCAGAGAGCTGGATCAGAAGTGGACAGCCGGGACACAAACCAGCATCCATATGGGATGCCGGCCCTGCAGGCAACAGCTTTACCCACTAAGCCACAGTTCCGGCCCCGGTAGTGGGGGGTCTTAAAAAAGAAAAAAAAAGGGGGGGGGGTTTGCCAGTAAGAAGGATCCATGCCTTTCTCCAAGGACGGGGCAGGAGGGAATTCTTGCTCTCAAGGGACTGCATTAATTACAAGGGCACTATTCTAAAGAAAGGCCTGTGCTTCTTCCTCATGTACCAAACTTTTCACCTCACCAGTGCTGGCCACTGGTGTTGGACTTTTCAACCTCCACAGCCACAAACCAACACTCTTTCTAGGGGTGCAGTCAGTCCCAGGTGTTTTGTTACACTAACAGAAAAGACTCAGGAGGATGTACAGCTCCACACAGTCAGAACTTTCCATTAAAAATGTGATGCTATTTTCAAAAGTTGATTTACTTCTCAAATCTGGAAGGTGCAAGTGCTTAACTGAGATACACTTACCTGTATTATCATGCTTTTCTCAGATGCGCTGGTTTCAGCAAAACTGAAATTTGCTTAGCTCAGGGTCTAGTAAACTACAAAGAGCCAGACGTTAAATGTTTTAGGCTTTGTGGGCCACATACAGTTTCCATAGCACATTTTTTCTTGTAACCATAAAAATGTAAAATCTCAGCTCTTGGGCTGTTCAAAAATGGGATACAGGTCAGATCTGGTCAGCAGCCTACAGTTTACTTATCCCTGGTTTAGTAACATAATATAAACAGAAATATAATAGCAACATCTACGTTGAAAATAAACACTGTACTATTCTCAATATGCTAGGCATAGGCTTTTTTCTCCTTATCATGGAACTAAGAAATGTTATCGTCAACATTGGAGATACAGGCAAATTGGCAGAGAGGTTAGGCATCTTTCCTGTGGTTATTCAACTAGCAAATGGCTGAAGTGAACAAGAAAGATTAGTTTCTCTTTGTAACCACTATTTTTAACTGATTTGTTAGTTTCTCCTAAAATGTCTTGGACCTTGTAGAAACACCACGGGGCATGGTCCATGATGGTGTGAGAATTTTGTCAAACTCCCTGAGAAAGTACAAGAGGAGAATGAGGCAAACGGAGGTGGCATTGTTGGCACCAGCAGAGCTCCCCGACTATACTTTCCAAGGAGCCAATCCTTCCTGTTGGCTAGACGTACTGGACTCCCGGGTTGTCACACGGACATGCTGATCTTCCCATTTTTCTATCAGGTGGTTTTCTTCATGAGCTACTGGGACACTGCATTTGGTTTAAGTGCCAGTGCCAGAGAATGAGGAAAATTGTTTGGAAGACCTTACAGTTCAAACATCATTGACGGCATTAGTTGTTTGATACATGAATATTGGGTCCTCCACAAATATGCTGTTTTGTAGTTGTGTACATATTCCCTGCTCTTAGGGAAACATACTTGTTTCATGCGAGGGACAAGGTATCTTCAATATACTCATGTGGTTTGTAAAAGTACTCATGTGTACCATGCGTATCAATATGCCATGTGAGCATGCATGTGGAAAAATGATTCACTCACACAACACCTGGAGTGTCTGCAGGTGTGAGATTCTATATAACTTTCCACTTTTATGAAGTGCTTTCAAAACGTTTAAATGGAAAAATATATGACGCAAAAGCCACATAATTTGGAAATAACTAGTAACATCTACCTGCATTTTTTTTATTTTAAAAATTTCTTTTGTGCTTTTTAAAGTCAATATATTCTTTTTTATTATTATTGACAGGCAGAGTGGACAGTGAGAGAGAGAGACAGAGAGAAAGGTCTTCCTTTGCCGTTGGTTCACCCTCCAATGGCCGCCGTGGCCGGTGCACCGCACTGATCCGATGGCAGGAGCCAGGTGCTTCTCCTGGTCTCCCATGGGGTGCAGGGCCCAAGCACTTGGGCCATCCTCCACTGCACTCCCTGGCCACAGCAGAGAGCTGGCCTGGAAAAGGGGCAACCAGGACAGAATCCGGCACCCCGACCGGGACTGGAACCCGGTGTGCCGGCACCGCAAGGCGGAGGATTAGCCTAGTGAGCCGCAGCGCTGACTTAAAGTCAATATATTCTTGACATCTTCCAACCTCAATTCCTACAAATTTACCTTCTCCCATGTGATGTTTCCATGGCATTCCAGTGTTAGCAAACCATCAAATACTTTGGCAATCTGGTTATTTCTACACTTGCCATTAAACAATGATGCAATGGACATACTTTATATTACATAAATATACTTACTTTTTATTTTTAAGATTTCATTCATTTATTTGAGAGGTAGAGTTACAGAGAGACAGAGAGGTCTTCCTTCCATTGTTTCACTCCCCAAATGGCCACAATGGCCAGAGCTGTGCCAATCCCTTTAAGCCAGGAGCCAGGTGCTTTTTCCCAGTCTCCCATGTGGGTGCTGAGGACCAAGGACGTGAGCCATCTTATACTGCTTTCCCAGGCCATAGCAGAGACCTGGATCGGAAGAGGAGCAGCCAGGACTAGAAACGGTGCCCATATGGGAAGCCAGCACCACAGGTGGAGGATTAACCTACTGTGCTACTGTGCTGGCCTCCTATTTACTTCTGAAATTCAAAGATTCATCTCTGTGGAATCTATCCCTTAATTTTTAACCTTACATGCAATATGAAACAATATTATGAGTCCTTAGCTACATGAATTTTTAGTCAGCAATTTTATTCATTTTTCATAGCTTTCCAGATTTAGTAAAAATATTGATTGCTCTAAACATAAAAGGAAAATTAGTGGACAAATAATGCAACTCTCCCTAACCAAAATAAACTAAAAAAAAAAAAAACCCAATTAGTCAGTGTATGGAAAACATCCTTTCACATACTATCTTTAGGAATTATTCACATTGAAATACAATTTCTATTAACTGAATCTTACCAAGAGGGCCAATTTCTACTCCTCTCTCAAGTAAGAGTTCTATTCCTGTTTCTCTGGTTCCGTGTCACCACTTCAATGACTAGGGAAATTCTGAGTCTGCAGAATTTCCTTCACTGTTAACAGGTGTACAGGGTTGATTGCCACATGGACTCCAGAAAGAAATGAAGATGTGCACTCTCACAAGTAGCACATTTCTCACTGCTAAAGCTTTTAGCCAGAAAGTGTGGACTTTCTGGTGGTACGTAAGGCGTGAGCGGTGGCTGAAGGCCTTCCCACATGTATCACATCTGTGCGGTTTTTCTCCGGCGTGGAGCCTTTGATGGGCTTGAAGACGTGCACTCTGACTGAAGCCCCTACCGCACTCCTCACACGTAAAGAGTTTCTCCCTAGTGTGGACACTTACATGGACTCGCAGACTGGAGGGGAGACTGAAGGCCTTCCCACACTCCTCACACTTGTGGGGTTTCTCTCCTGTGTGGACCCTTTGATGATGGCGAAGATTCAAGCTCCTACCAACCCACACTCCTCACATTTGTAGGGTTTTTCTCCAGTGTGGCCTCTCTGGTGGTGTATAGACTGCGAGCTGTACCGAAAGCCCTTCCCACACACGTCACATTTGTATGGCTTCTCCCCAGTGTGGACCCTCTGGTGAGACTGAAGCCCAGAGGACTGACTGAAGCCCTTGCCACACACACCACACGCGTACGGCTTCTCTCCAGTATGCACTCGCTGGTGTGCCCGGAAATCTGTGGCCTGACTGAAGCTCTTCGCACACTCCTCACATTTGTAGGGCTTCTCTCCCGAGTGGACTCTGATGAGCGTGGAGGTTTGATCTCCAACTGAAGCCCTTCCCACACTCCTCACATTGATACGGCTTTTCTCCAGTGTGGATTACCTGGTGCAGTTTCAGGTTTGAACTGTAACTGAAGTCCTTCCCACACACACCACATCTGTATGGTTTTTCCCCAGTGTGGACTCTCTGGTGGGTTTGAAGCTTTGAGGACTGACTAAAGCCCTTCCCACACGTTTCACATTTGAATCGCTTCTGCCCGGTGTGGACATTCTGATGGACTTGGAGATTGGAGGCCTGACTGAAGCCCTTCCCACACTCCTCACATTTGTAGGGCTTCTCTCCCGTGTGGACTCGGAAATGGATATGGAGATCTGTATTCCGGGTAAAGCCTTTCCCACACGCCTCACATCTGTAGGGTTTCTCTCCAGTGTGGACTCTCCGGTGGCATGTTAATGGCGAATTGTGACTGAAGCCCTTACCACACAAGTACATTTGTAGGGCTTCTCCCCAGTGTGGACTCTCTGATGAATGTGAAAGTGTGCGGCCTGAGTAAAGCCTCTTCCACACTCTTCACACTTATAGGGTTTCTCACCCCTGTGAACCCTCTGATGGACACGGAGGTTAACACTCCAGCCGAAGCCCTCACCGCACTCTTCCCATTTGTAGGGTTTTCCTCAGTGGGGACTCTCTGATGGCACTGAAAATTTGAACTCTGACTAAAGCATTTCCCACACTCTCGCCAGTGTGAGTTCGGTCATGAATGACGAGCCCCGTGCTGCTACCGAATCCCTTGCCACAGCTGTCACAGCGGTAGCACCTCTCTCCTGTACGATGCGCCTGATGAGGGTGAGAAGAGTTCTCCCCGAGGCAACCAGCAGGTTCCCGACATTCATTTGGTCTCTCTCCTGAGTGAGTTCTCTGATGAATTTCCAGACGTGAACTCTGGCTGAAGCACTTCTCTCCGGGGTGAACACTCTGGCGAAGGGGATGCACTGAGCCGTAGCCGAACCCCTTTCCACACTCACGGCATGGGTGCGGTTTTTCTCCTACGGGCAGCTGCTGACTCGTGTCATCACTGATGCCAACTCTGCCACATTCCTTACCTTTGCAGGGTTTCCACTGAGCGGCAGTGTTAATCTGCTCACTACACGAAGATTCCTCCATGAAGTCTCCACACACACGCAGGGCACTTGGCTTGTCACTCTGCTTACCTCTACTCTGATTCTGTGCTGCATTCCAACAACTATTCTGGCAAGAATCTTGAGTCCTCAAAACTGAACACCCTTGGTTTTCACTATTACTGGGGCTCTCTCCTTTACGACTCATTGTATTATTCTCATTTCCAGAAACCTGCATGGAATCAACTTGTATTAACTGGAAACTCTTCCTCTGAAGACACCTGGTTAATTCACTTGCAACCTGCTTCCAGATCTGCCAACAGGATAACTCCTCATGTAAAAGGTATGTTACGGCCAATCTTCGAAGAGTCTCCAATTCGTTTTGATTCTTGCTACCTATCGAAAGTAAATATTCAGAGATGAGGACAGGTAAATACATATTCTTTCTTCAGAAATATCAGAATTTTACCCTAAGGCCAAAGGAGAATGCCTTATTAAGCCAGAAGGATGATCTTGTCCTTATAACATTATTTATCTTTCTCTCATGTTTCATGCAAGTGAAAGCAATGAATGGTGTCAACAGGCTTCTAATTCTAAAAGGTAAAAGTGACTCATTTAGAAAACCTACTGTTGGGGCCAGCACTGTGGTACAGTGGGTTAAAGCCCTGGCCTGCAGCGCTGACATCCCATATGGGCGCCCGTTCAAGTCCTGGCTGCTCCACTTCTGATCCAGCTCTCTGCTGTGGCCTGGGAAAGCAGTAGAAGATGGCCCAAGTCCTTGGGCCCCTGTACCTGCATGGGAGGCCTGGAAGAAGCTTCTAGCTCCTGGCTTTGGATTGGCCCAGCTCCAGCCATTGTGGCCATTTGGGGAATGAACCAGCAGATGGAAGACTTCTCCCTCCCTCCCTCTCTCTCTCTCTGCCTCTACTTCTCTGTGACTCTGCCTTTCCAATAAGTAAATAAATATATATATATATATAAAATTTCCACCCTTTCCTAGTCAGGACTATCCTCATGCCCACAGTATGTGAGTGTCTTTAGACTTCTGGAGCTGGTCAGTTTAAACTGCTAACTGCTGTATCCAGGTCACAGGATCATTCAGGTACGAGTGTCAGGGGAGTGAGAAAGTGGTATGTTGGCCGCATGGATGAAGCAGTTTCACCAGGAAGCAGCCAACCTGGTGTTGCTACGTGGGGACAGACGAACTGTAGTGCTGGCATGCAGGTGTTGACCACATTTAACAGTTCAGTTACACATTCTGGAAATTGGGAGTAGCTTTTATCTTCTGAGGTTAGGTTTGAATCTTTACCCATCAAAGTTATATAAGGAATCAGAATTATGTTCAACATTCACTGGAAAAGAATGTTCAAAAAAAATCCATGAACTACTCTAGTGTGTTGTAAACCTATGAGCTATTTCTAGAATTAAGAGGGACACGAAGGTCAGTTGTCTCCATTCTCTGTAAGCTGTTTTTAAGATTCATAAAAACAAGCCCTTTAACTTGGGCTGTCACCAATATACAATGTTTTAAAATATTATTTGTACACAGAGCAGGGTTATAAAATCCCAAAACATACTATGTTAAGTTAAAAAAGAAAATGTCACAGGAGTGGGTAAAAAAAGGACTTGCTGGCCGGCGCCGCGGCTCACTAGGCTAATCCTCCGCCTAGCGGCGCCGGCACACCGGGTTCTAGTCCCGGTCGGGGCGCCGGATTCTGTCCCGGTTGCCCCTCTTCCAGGCCAGCTCTCTGCTGTGGCCAGGGAATGCAGTGGAGGATGGCCCAGGTGCTTGGGCCCTGCACCCCATGGGAGACCAGGAGAAGCACCTGGCTCCTGCCTTCAGATCAGCGCGGTGCGCCGGCCGCGGCGGCCATTGGAGGGTGAACCAACGGCAAAAGGAAGACCTTTTTCTCTGTCTCTCTCTCTCACTGTCTGCTCTGCCTGTCAAAAAAAAAAAGTAAAATAAAAAAAAAGGACTTGCTATATTATGCAAAAATAACAACACTAATGATCACAGGTCTCAGGGTTCTGTATGCAGGAAAATGAAACCCAGTGAAGTGAAGCGAGTGTAATGTTCCGGACACATCAAAAGTGATGCAGCATGGTGACCTAGAAAGGCAGGCAGACATCAGAATAGATTGCATCTGTCAGATACAAAATGCAGGGCCCAGTCTGTCACATTAACAGACAATCGTCTCTGTTCTGTTTCTGCGGTGGGGGCCACGAATACCTAATTTTTACTTTAGTTTTTAAATGTGTAGAATGAGGTATATGCAATTAGAGAGAAAAGAGGGTAAAAAGTGAAGAAGTGAGAGGGCAGGGAAAAGCGAGGTGGGACAGTGCGGTGGCTGAGCAGTGAGACGCTGAGCCGTGCTATCACACCCCGCTGAGAGACGGCAGCACCTGGACGAGCGGGCAGTCGTGGACATGAGAAGCAGACCAGCTGCTACCTGAAACAGCCACATGGTCCTGCCCAGAGCGTCCCCTTCCTTGGGTCTCTGCTTCCTTCCTCCAAAGTCTTTCTTCTGCTTCCAACTGGGACACCATATCTGATTTGAAGGGAAGGTGCCCTATGAAAAGATTACATTTACATTTAAGGTGAACACACAACTGAAATACATCTTTGTCCAAGTCCTCAGAACCTCTAAACTCATATTTTAAGAACTTTTTTGAACATGAACTAGTCAGACTAGGCCATGGCCTAGCTAATAGACAGATCAAATCAGCTGTAGCCACAGATAGATCAGACAGATGAGATTTAGCCAACATCTGTTTTTATCACACTTCTAACCCTGTCTCTCATACCACTCACTGAAGATGGTCAGTTTTTGCTGTAATGTCAGCAGTCTTTCATAACAAATTCTGATATTTCCTATCCTTATCTAAACTGAAATTGTTCAATTTCATGGAAATAATTGTCAATATAATGCACAAGGTTGATTTCACAACCCATCACGGGTCACAATTATAATATGAACAAAGTACTTATAAGAAAAAGTACAGAAGTTGCCCACTGATAGTCTATTTAAACAGGGTCTCTCAACTGTGGTCCTACAGGGAGTCTAGAGTGGGTGAACCTCTGCTATGGGAGCTGTCCTGTGCATGGCAGGAGGTTTAATGTCCCTGGCCGTTACCAACTATATTGCAATGGCACTCCTCCCCAAGTTATGACAATCAACTACCACATGTCCTTTAGGGACAAAATCACCCTTGGTTGAAAGCAAGTGATTTAAAAGGATAGCATTTTGCCTGAGCAGAAAGACCAGAAAAAACAATGCTTGTTTTCCCAGGGATTAGAAAACATTTTGTCAAGAGCAGGAGGCCATTCCCAAAGGTCCAAAGCCTTGAACCCCTGAGGACACAGAGGTGACTCCCAAGGGAGGTGACGTTCAGTGTCGGGGGCCGTCCTCACCCACTGCGACCAGGTTCCGGAAGTTCTCCAGCATCACAGCCCGGTACAGCTCCCTCTGGGTGAGGTCCAGCAGCCGCAGCTCCTCCCTGGTGAAGACCACGGCCACGTCCTTGAACGTCACCGCCTCCTACAACATAAAACACACCACCAGCCTCCAGAGGAGGGCAGTACCAAGAAGGATAATGAGGACGAAAAAACTTGGATTCCAGGCAGCCTTCTGTAACAGGTAGGTGGCTCAAGGCACCCACCATACCCACCTACTGTCACGTTCACAGCCAGTTAGGGCACCAGTCCTGGAGTCAGGCTGTTTGAGTTCAAATGTCAAAGCCCTGCCCTTTATTAAATAGAGCGCCTTGCACACATTCCTTAAGCGCTCGCTATCTCACCGGCTCTCCTCTGTGACAGCATCTGAATCGTAAGGTGGCTGACAGGATGAGGTGAGTGAAGAGGAGTGAAGCACTCAGAATGGTGTCTGGCACATCACAAGGCCTTAATCAATGTGAGCGATTCCCATCAAGATGATGATCGCTTTCACCCTATTTCACGACTGGTAGAACAGTATTCTTGGAATGACTTACCTTTACCCAACCCACGTAATATATAATTAATTACAGATTTTTATCCATAGTCAATATTGCAAAGATTCTTTTACAACTGTCTCAGCCAAAAAGCAGCAGGTACAAAGTCATAGGATATTCACTTTAAAAATTCTTGAATGATGGTAGACCTTCCTCTTATAAGGTTTAGCCAAATAACACTTCACAAAGGAGAGCCAAAGTTTTCTTTAGTCTCTAGACTCTCACTAAACAGAACTTAATTCCCTCTTGAGAAAAATCTTTTGGGGGCCAGCACTGTGGCATAGCAGATTAAACTGCTGCCTAAGACACCAGCATCCCATATGGACACCAGTTAGAGTCCTGGCAGCTCCACCTCTGATCCAGCTCCCTGCTGTGGCCTGGGAAAAGCAGTAGAAAATGGCCCAAGTGCTTGGGCCTCTGCACCCAAGTGGGAGACCCAAGATGAAGCTTCTGGCTTCAGTCTGGCCCAGACCTGGCTTTTGAGGCCATTTGGGGAGCAAACCAGCAGATAAAGATCTCTCTTTCTCTCTCTGTAACTCTTTCAAATAAATAAATCTTAAAAAAAAGTCTTTTTGGGGCTGGTGCTGTGGCATAGTGGATACAGCCGCCACCTGCAGTGCTGCATCTAATATGGGCACCATTTCAAGTCCCAGCTGCTCCATTTCCAATCCTGCTCTCTGCTGTGGCCTGGGAGAGCAGTAGTAGATGGGCCAAGTGCTTGGGCCCTGCACCCACATGGGAGACCCGGAAGAAGCTCCTGGCTCCTGGCTTCAGATCGGCCTAGCTCTGGCCATCATGGCCATTTGGGCAGTGAACCAGCAAATGGAAGACTTCTCTCTCTATGCCTCTACCTCTCTGTAACTCTGTCTTTCAAATAAATAAATAAAAATCTTTTGGCAATCTAAATTAAATAAATAAATAGAAGCCCCAACATTTGCACACATCTAATTATTAGTTATGATCTTTTAAAAATAAATTTACTTTCATTTTTATGATATTCCTATTCCAATCGGACTTTCTGCATCTTCTCGTCTGAATAGAGATTTAAGCTCTTTGATCTTTGCCTCACGTTTAAGCACATCCCCCCAGTCAGCTATTGCCTTATCCCAAGACACTTCCTATTTTTGCTCTAGGGGCATGTAAAACACTCACAGCAGAGCTGTGCTGAGCACCGAGGTACCACAGCTGGTGAAGAAGAGACGGGCCCAGAGATGGGGACAGCAGAAGCGCTGGGGCTATCATTCTGAAAGGTCAAGGCAGACACAGCCATGGTACGCACGCAGACCTCTGAATGGGAACTTCCCTTGCCCTATCTTCCTTTTCCATTCCTGAAAACAGAATGTCAGAAATCCCTAACCCTACAGAGGCTTCAGAGACCACAGGTTTGGCTACCTGTGAGGTGTTAATTATATGATGTATCCACTTCCATTTCTTCCTGTTTGAAGATAAATCACCTACATCCTCACACAGCACTCTGAAGAATAACGCAATGACAGATGGGTTGGCGAGGTGTTTATGGACCTTAAACTATAGACATATTTTGTTAAAAAAATTAATACAGGAAAGAAACAGGTAACTAAAACAAATATCACAGCTCTCCTCCGTCTGATAAATCACACCATGTAATGCTTGAACGCCTGCTTACACAACCCCGAGGGTCCCTGCACCATTTCTTAAAACGGTAAAATATGAAAGTCCGAGCAAGGAATCAGTTTTTTTTTTAAAGGATACTGCAATTCAATAGAACAGGCTATAACCACTTAAAATGCAGGTGACACAGTTAAACAAGGAAAACATAGTTCAAAGTTTCCCCTTCCTTTACTGCACACAGCAGTTGCAGACGTCCAGGGAAGAGGCCATGGGAAAGGGAAGCGACGGCCATCGTCGTCACCGCTCCTTCTTCAAGACTGCTTTATAAACAGTACAGACCACAAAGCCAAACACACATGTACAGCTGCCCACGACACGCACTGAGAGACCTGTTGTTTGCAACTAGCATCATGAAAGATGAGAAAAAAGGTGAACCTAATTTTTTAAAAACAGAACCACAGCTGCAGACACAGACAGCTCTTACCTGAAATCTGGTCATTTCCTCCCGTTCCTCCTGGGGAACGTCGGCCTCCCGGGAGGGCATAACTGGGGAAGGACAGAAATCCACAGGACGCACACGTCAGAGCTGCCGTTAGCCATGTGGGTCTTTCCAGAAATTACACAAGGTGCCCCTGCTTACAGAGGCAGCCACGCGCAGCCTGACAGCGGAGCGTGGACGGGATCCGGCTCCTACCTGTGCCGGCTCGGCGCTGTCAGGCAGTGAACAGCCTGCACGGCCAAGCGAGTCCTCCTGACACGCAGGTGTCCAGTCTTCAGAACGGGAAGAAAGGAGAGGCAGAGTAACACTGCGTGGATGAGGGGCCAGCACTGCGGCGTAGTGGCTAAGTCACCGCTGTGACAACAGCATCCCATATGGGCACCCTCTAATGTACTTGGCCCAAGTCCCTGGGCCCCTGCCCCACGTGGGAGATCTGGATGGAGCTCCAGGCTCCTGGCTTCGGCCTGGCCCAGCTCCAGCCATTGAGACCATTTGGGGAATGAAGCAGTGGGTAAGATATCTCCCTCTGTAACTTTCAAATCAATTAGTCTTTAAAAAAGACATATATGGAGGGGGCCAGCACTGTGGCGTAGCGGCTAAGGCTGCCACCTGCAGTGCCGGCATCCCATATGGGCACTAGTTCAAGTCTTGGCTGCTCCACTTCCGATCCAGCTCTCTGCAATGGCCTGGGAAGGCAGTGGAAGATGGCCCAAGTCCTTGGACCCCTGCACCCACATGGAGGACCCAGAGGAAGCTCCTGGCTCCTGGCTTTGGATCGGCACAGCTCCTGCTGTTGTGGCCAACTGGGGAGTGAACCAGCAGATGGAAGACCTCTCTCTCTGCCTCTCCTTCTCTGTGTAACTCTTTCAAATAAAATAAATAAATCATATGTGTGTGTGTGTGTGTGTGTATGCATGTGTGTATATACATATATACACACACACACATATGGAATGAAAAAAAACGAGGTACTGTAATGAAGAGCCTGGGTTCGATTCCTGAAAGTGACAGCACTTATATACCCTCAGGAATATCAAAAATCCCTGTGCCTCAATTCTATCAGTTATAAGCTAAGAGAAGGCCAGGGCCATTGCTGGCCCAACTCCTTGGGCCCCTGCACCCGCGTGGGAAACCTAGAAGAAGCTCCTGGCTCCAGATAGGCACAGCTTTGACTTTTGCAGCCAACTGGGGAATGAACCAGTGGACAGAAGACACCTCTCTCTCTCTCTCTGCCTCTCCTTCTCTCTGTGTGTAACTCCTCCAAATAAATAAATAAACCTTTAAAAAAAAGAGAGAGAGAGAGAGAGAACTGCTGGGGGTGGCCCTGTGGCACCGGCATCCCATAATGGGTACCAGTTTGGATCCCAGCTGCTCCACTTCCAATCCAGATCCCTGCTAATGTACCTGAGAAGGCAGCGCAGGATGCCCCAAGCAAGCACTCGGGCCCTGCACCCACATGGGAGGCCCAGAACAAGCTCCTGGCTCCTGGCTCCGATCAGCCCAGCTCTGACTGCTGCAGCCATTTGGATGGAAGATCTCTGTTGCCCTTCCTCTCTCTCTCCTCTCTAACTCTGCTTTACAAATAAATAAATCTTTAAAGAGAGAGAGAACTATAAGGCTTTCCTACAACTGATAAAAGGCATGAGTTCACACATAGAAAATTCTCAACATAATAAACCAGAACAATAAATAAAATTAATATGAAGGGGCTTCAAGAGTGTTCATGGGAAATGTGCATTTTCTCTTAATTCTAGTTTTTCATGAACTTTTTGAAGCCTCCTGGGACTCTCCTCAACTGACAAATTGCAGTGACACTTGGGAATGCAAGAGGAAGTAAACACACCCAGAACTGAACAAGAACCACCTCAAACTCCCAGAAAGAAATACAGTTTACACCTCAAAGAAACGACATTAGATTGAGACAGTGTAACGTGGAGACCCGAACAATGGAGTATTACAGGAAAATGGAAGGAAGACGGCAGCTGTCAAGTCAAGCTTTCTGTGCTCAACGAAAAGATTTTTTTACATGACACGAGTTGTCTTTTAAAGCTTAAGATAAACACGTCTGTAGGCGCCCTGAAAACGGGCTGCGAGAAAACGCTGCAAAAACCCTGGGGAACAGAATAATCCTTGTTTTAAAAAAAAAAAAAGTCCAAGATTTGTTTTTAATTAGTTATTTATTTATTTGAAAAGTAGAGAGAGGGGGAGGGAGAGAGAGAGGTCTTCCCTCCACTGGTTCACTCCCCAGAGGCCGCATGCGCCAATCCGAAGCCAGGTGCCTCCTCCGGGTCTCCCATGCAGGTGCAGGGGCCCAAGGACTTGGGCCACCTTCTACGCTTTCCCAGGCCACAGCAGAGAGCTGGATCGGAAGTGGAGCAGCCGGAAGTGGAGCAGCCGGGACTCGAACCGGCACCCACATGGGATGCCAGCACCGACTACCCGCTGCGCCTCGGCGCCCGCCCAATATTCAACTATGGAGCGACTGCGGCAAAGCCGCCCAAGCTTTTTCCGTCTCCTTTTCTCATCCTTAAAACCAGGCGTGCGGCAAGACTCGACTCCAACTCCACTCGGCCCGTGGAAGGACGCGTCGAATGGGAGCGCGAAGACGTCCTTGGCAGCAGCATCCTCCCCGGCCCACGCACGCGCGAGGGACCCCGCGAGGCGGCAGCGCGCACGGGGCCGCAGGCGGGCGCTGGGCAGAGGTCCGGCCCCGGCCTTGCGTCCAGCAGCGGACGGCGCCCCCGGGGCTACGCCGGAGCCACCCCCGACGCGCACTGTCCCGCTTCCAGCTGCAACCCCACGCGTCCCAACAGCTCTGCCGCGGCTTCCACGCGCGGGACGCGGCCGGCGGCCGGGGAGGCGGGGCAGGGAGAGGCCACCTTCCAAACGCCCGCCCGCCACCCACGGCCACCCCAGCCGGGTCGCGGGGGAGCTGACTCCCCTCCCGGACCGGAAGGATGGTGACGGCCTTCCTCCGCCGGGCGGAAGTGGCCGCGACGACACAGAACTCCATTTCCCAGAAGGCCGCAGGGCTGGGGGCGGCACCCACGCCGCGGCCTCCGCTCCGAGCGGCCGCCCATTGTTTCCGGACAGAGTCCTGGAATACATTTCCCCAAAACCCCTAAGAGGAGGAAGAGCCAGGTCCCGCCCTTGTAGAGGGAGAAAAAAGGAAGAGAAAAATCTCCCAAGTCTTGGAGCGCATGAACTACAATTCCCAGAATCCTTTTCGTGACTTCCTGTCATTGGCCGGAAGTCGTCTTCGGACACTCACGGAGATTAGCTTCTCATATGTCTAAGGAACAAACAAAAAGTAACAGCAAATGCGTGAGAATCTTAAAACATGGAGTGTTAAGGAACAGTGACCCTTTATTACTAGCAGTATCCACACCGCTACCGACACATGATAGTGACAGCTGTCGATTTGGTTTTTACGCTAACAGGATCAGCTGCTAGGGGAGACACATTTTAGATGCACAGGAATGGAAGTCTTGCCATCCACGACAATGCGGTCACGACGTTCAGTGAAGTGAACCGAGCACGGAACTCCGCGTGTCACGTGACCTGACTCATGTGGAGTCTGAGAAATAGAGAGTGGAGCAGCCGGGACTCGAACCGGCGCCCATGCCCGGTGGCAATGCTCAGTCATCCTCCCAGGTTACCCCACAGTCAGCCCTTCTTTTTTTTTTTTTTTTATTTTATTTTTTGACAGGCAGAGTGGACAGTGAGAGAGAGACAGAGAGAAAGGTCTTCCTTTGCTGTTGGTTCACTCTCCAATGGCCGCCGCGGCCGGCGCACTTCGGCCAGTCAGCCCTTCTAAAGGCCTGCGGTGAACATCTGAGGGCAGAACCTCGAGTGTCCCTCTCAGGATGGACGTCTGAGGAGGGTGCCTTTGGGCTGTCAGTGTCACCGCGAGGGGAGGAACGAGGAACTGTGTCCATTAGCTAAGGAAAAATCTGCGCTCAGGTAACTGATCCTCAGCCAATGCCGGAATCTGGGAGAGAACTGGCAGCCAGCGCGCGGTCAAGATGCCAGCATGATAGACTCCACTTCAAAGATGAGAAGGAGGCACGGTTAATTAACTGACAAACTCTGAGGCCCGCGCTGGGGCGCAGCGGGTGAAGCCGCCGCCTGCAGTGCCGGCATCCCATATGGGCCCCGGTTCGAGTCCCGGCTGCTCCACTTCCGATCCAGCTCTCTGCTGTGGCCTGGGATAGCAGTGGAGGATGGCCCAGGTCCTCGGGCCCCTGCACCCGCGTGGGAGACCTGGAGGAAGCCCCTGGCTGCTGGCCTCGGATCGGGGCAGCTCCAGCAGTGGCGATCCTCTGGGGACTGAACCGGCGGATGGATGAGCTCTCTGTAACTCTGCCTTTCAAATAAATAAATACACTATTTTAAAAATGAAAATAGAAAGCTACATGGCTAGGAAATGGCACGACTGACAAGTGGGTGGGGGAGCCCGAGACCCTCAAATCGGGTCACACAGTCTGCTCAGAACGGCCACCGGCACCGCGACTGCGCCCACCCTGTGCTCCGCAGCCGGCCGCCGCTTCCCCGCTCCGCTGCTCCCCGCCGCGGTGTCCAGAAGGCTTAGAGGACCCCGAGTAACACAGCCACCCGCTCAAACTCCCGACCAGGAGCCCCAGAACCGCTTCCCAGAATTCCCTGGCACAGCCGTCCTGAAGCGGAAGCGCCTCCGGGCTACGCAGACCCGGACTACATTTCCCAGAATTCCTAGAGTAGACACAGCCCCGCCCCCCGAGGGCGGGAGTACTCGGAAGTACCCGGAGCTTCAAAGTCTTTTTTTTTTTAGCTTTATTTATTTATTTGATATGCTTATTTTATTTGTTTGATTTAAGATACATATTTAAAGAAATATATTAAACTTTACCTAGAGGTTCAGCTATTGGCTCGTAGCACACTCATATAATGAAATTTACAAATAGTAGTTGGGTTTCCCTCCAGGTTACATAAGTCTACACTCCCATGACATTTATCGCAACACCACACCGTTTCCAGGGGTAATCATCCTGTGTCTCTCTATTAAACATACAGTAGTATCTCACTGTCACAGATTCCTCTCACTTATGGTAAGATTCAGAATTTCCTCGAATGCTTGACAGCTCTTCTGTAAACTGTACTTCTGCCTTTCACCCGTCTTACTTTTCTCGTTCATTTGCACTGCATATTCTAATTATTAATACCTTAACGAGACACAACGCTATGTCCTATTCAGCACTGAACATTTTTGTAACAACTTTACTGAGATATAATTCACATACCGTATCAATCTAAAGTGCACAAAATGAATTTTAGAACCTTCACAGGGTTGTGCAGTCACCAGTACAATTTTAGGACATTTTCACCATCTCAAAAAGAAACTTGGTAACAATTAACAGTCACTTCCAATTTTCCCCTAACCTCCTAGCCTAAGCAATCCGTAATCTACTTATTGTAAAATTACCTATTCTGAACAACTTACGTGAGTGTAATTCTATAGTGTGTTGTCTTTTGAAGTGGATTTGTGCTGCAGAGCATAGTATTTCAAAGGTCCATCCCTGTTGGTGTAAGTATCAGTACTTCATTACTTTTTTATTGTTGAAAAATATGTCATTGTATGAAGATATCATGTCTTATTTCTCCATCAGTTGGTGGACATCTGGGTTTGCACTTTTTGGATGTTATGAACAATGTTGCTGTGGACATTTGTGCCCAAGTTTTTACGTAGACATATGTTTTATTTATCTTGGTTATAATCCAGGAGCGCAATGCTTGGTCATAGGGCAACCTGCTTCATTTGTTGAGCAACTGCCGGACGGTATGCCAAGGCATCTGCATCATTCGACATTTCTACCAATTTCTGAGAGATCCCATCTCTTCACCTCCTCACCCACTCTTCTGTTATCTTTGTTAGTGTAGCACATCTGGTAGACATAAGGTGGCTCTCTCATTACAGTTTTAAAAATATTTATTATAAATTAATTTATGATTTATTATAAATTATTGTATAAAATATAATTATATATTGTAAAATTAAATTAAATGACCCAAACAAAACACCACATACAGAAATTAAATCAAAAGCATTAAAAGATCCAAATTTAAGAGCTAAAACCATAAAACCCTTGGATGAAATCATAGGTGTAAGCCTTCATGACTTTGAAATGTGCAATGGTTTCTTACATGTGACTTAAAATGACAAGGAATAATAAAAACGAATGTACTGAACTTTGTGTCAAAATTTAAAACTTTTGTGCACCAATGGACACCATCAAGAACGTGAAAAGACAAACAGAATGGGAGGATATATTTGTAAATAATATATCTGATAAGGGACCTGTTCCTAGAATATAGAAAGAACTGACTCAGTTCAATAATAAAAGACAATTAAATAAGGGGCCAAAGGATCAGAAGAGAAATTTTTTGAAAGAGGATATATATGAATGGCTCAGAAACACATGGAAATATAGTCGACATCGTTAGTCATTAGGGAAATGCAAATCGAAACTATAATGTGGGGCCAGCACTGTGGCGTAGCAGGTAAAGCCACCGCCTGCAGTGCCAGCATCCCATATGGGCACCGATTCGAGTCCCAGCTGCTCCACTTCCGATCCCGCTCTCTGCTGTGGCCTGGGAAAGCAGTAGAAGATGCCCAAGTCCTTGAGCCCCTGCACCCACATGGGAGACCCAGAAGAAGCTCCTGACGCCTGGCTTTAGATCAGCACAGCTCCAGCCATTGCGGCCAATTGGGAGAATGAACCAGTGGATGGAACACCTCTCTCTCTCTCTCTCTCTCTCTCTGCATCTCCTCCTCTCTCTGTGTAACTGACTTACAAGTAAATAAACAAATCTTAAAAAAAAAAAAAAAGTGGAGGCTCCGGTGCTGTGGCTCAGCAGGTTAAGCTGCCGCCTGCAATGCTGGCATCCTGTATCAGGGCACTGGTTTTGAGTCCTAGTGCCCCACTTCCGATCCAGCTCCCTGCTAATGCTGGATTGGAAAACGCTGGCAAAGTAGTGAAAAATTGGCCC